TTGATATATCTCGCCCAGAAACGTTATGTCATTAGGTAGAAGCCATGTCTCCTGTAGCGCTAGCACGTCAGACTTTTCACACAGGTGTCTTACGCATTCCAAAGAGCGTTTAACAGATTTACAATTGAAAGTAGTAAATTTTGCCGTACTATACATGAACGATTTTTTTTACACATTATCTGAGGTCTCCTGATGTCTGTACTTAAAATGCACAAATCTTCTGAATGAGATGCCGTCCGGCCAAAGACTGTCATTTAAAAAGACAGCAAGTTTTTGTTTGGACACGTATAATTTGAACGCATTATATCCTTTATCTTTTTTTCATAGTCACTTTTTCTAGTGTCACTAACTCGTTAGTTTTATTCCTAATATAATCGACGATATCTTTTTCTAGCGTCTCTCTATGTACGTTAGATATAAATAGCGGAATTTTCAAGTCCGCTGATTTAAATTTCTCCTCAGGTTTTATTTCTGCTTTTCCTGTCTTACCTATAAAACGGTTACGCAATCTGCGCTTTTGAACTTTTATCCAGGCCTCTGGCGGTTCTTCATTTTTCCAAGCTTCACCTTTTTTCAATATTTCGGCCATAGTTAGCGAAGTCTGAAAATTAACATCACAAGATGTATCTTTTATTGCGTTATTATTGTTAGTAGACTTATTCACTACAATTGTTTTGTCATCATTCATCCTGCTTTTACTCGGTGAGTTGTGCATTGGAATAGGAGTTACTTTAGTGCCTCCTGCGCTGAATGATTGCCGCCCATCCGCACCGTTATAAGCAGTCACGCCTCCAGATGTAAAGTGGTCAGCCTTATGCTTATCTGACACAGGTGCGAGTGCATCGACACTATCACGAGCACGACTAGCTACTTGTGCGATAGCTGTCTTTTCCGTCTCTGTCTGTACGTCAGTTGTTTGTAACGGTACATCAGCTGTTGATAACTCGTGTGACAAGCCCATCGGCCCACTGTCGCCGAACGTAGTACCCACATCTAACAAGAAGGCACTGCACCTTCTACCCACCCTATGATGATGAGCTGGTGATGTGGATGTTTTTAAGAAAGATATATCTTTCTTTAGCTCTTCTAGGTGCGTCTTGGTTCCTTGATGATCTTAACCTCCTGTTGCAACAAAACTATATCCTTCAGCAGTCGAGTTACATCTACATGATCGAAAGTGATTTTGTAGGTCACGAGCAACAAAATAGGCGCACTATTAGGGTCTGTTTCTTTGAAAAGACTAATGATGTCTTCTAACTCCCTTTGGGATTTCCCATCTGTACGTCGAGTTAATTTTCCATCTCTGCGTCTTATATTTTTTCTTTTACCTGAGGGCAATGACTCGAATAGCAAACTTTTTGCATTAGTGATATCTTCAGCTGTAAAGGCACTACTACAAATTCGGCCAATGCTCTCCTCGTCCATCACATCTGCCTTGTTTTGTATAAAGGCAAGCACTTCGCTTATCACAATATTACAATTTGTACATTTTACCACTTTGGACGCCATTGTCTTATCGTACAATGACCCTTCGCTTACGCTCAAAGCGAACACATGTACGCGCTTTGCCGTTCCGCGTGCGACTGACTGCACTGCACTTTAGCTTTAGGGACAACCATTTGCAAACGACAGCAGTCTCCTCGACCATTGTCCCATTTACGGCACAGGACTCCATCCTGAATCAGCAAGCTGTACCATTGGGCCCAATAGCTTTTAGAGATCGAACTCATCACTGAAACGTACACTTAGGCTTGGTAGCACGGACCTTCATCCATTCCAGAATCGGCTTGATGTCCGGATCTTCCTGCTGTGCATGTCGTAGGCTGTTCTTCTACTCGTTGCTGAGGTGGTCTGTCCTGAGCATCCTCACGCATACCACTTCCTTACTCTCTTGCCTAGTACAATGTTTCTAATATTCAGGACAAGGTCTTCCTGACAATGCATCTGCGTTGCCATGAGATTTCCCGCTGAGATGTCTGATAGTAAAGTCGTATCCCGGCTGCTGCTGGGCGGTGCCGTTAGCTGCACTTCCCTCTCGAGATCGATCAACTTCCCTTTCTACAGTTCGCTTAGGGCAGCTGGATCGAAGATGGCCCCTTTCACCACAGCCATAGAACCTAGGGCTGTATCCTTTGTTGCGGTCACGAACTGTAGCTTCTGCAACCTCTCTGACGCGATGGGAACGATGATCCTGCCGCACGGCTTCCACCTCCAGTGCATGGGCCAAGGCGTCCTTAAGCGTCTCGTGGTGCCCGAGCCTCACAGCAGCTCTGACTTCCAGGTCGTAGATGCCGTCGATGAATATTTGCACCAGGTTCCCTTCAACGAGCGCAGGTACAGACCGGTATGCCAGCCTCTCAGCCACTAGCTTCTCCACCTCTAGAGCCCACTGCTGCAGGTTTTCGTTGATGCGCTGCAAGCGATCTTTAAGCTGCACACGAAAGACATGTTCCAGGTGAGCGTCGCCGTATCTCACCTCCAATGCCTCAAGGAGTTGCTCATAAGTCACTTCCTCACCGAGAACTATCCAGAACTGTTAAGGCCTGGTCGCGCAGGCCTAGTGTGAGAGCCGTCAAGACCTGACTTTTATTCCAGCCGTTCGCCTTCATAACAGCCTCAAACTGGATTTTGTAGGCTGACCAGGAAGAAGTCCCGTCGAACGGTGGCACTTTGAAGCCACGTAGCGAAGGTGTTGTAGCTACTGCGAGGACTGCAATTCCATCTCCAAGTTTGAGTTCATCCAGCGTTTTCTTAACTTGGTTGATTTGGGTCTCAGCTTCCGACAGGCGGTTATCATGTTGAGCATCCTTATCCTTCACCTCCCTTATCTCTTTCCCGAAGGTAGCGTGAAGGTTCTTCATGAGAATCATCTGCTCTTCCTTGTCGCGTTTGAGCTGCTCTTCTAAGTGACGGGCCTGTTCCGCCTGTTCCTCTCGTCCGCGCTGCAGCTGCTCTTCCAACCGACGGGCCTGCTCCTGCAGCATCACCATCAGAGTACCTAATTCAGGTGCTGCAGATGCAGGAGCTACTGACGGACCGGCCTCCGTTACCGGCGGCTGGCCCTCCGACGTCTTCGGCGTTGCACTACCAAATCATCTCTGATGCGTCTCATGCTGGCGTTGACTGCGGGTACGGACACCCTCCGTTTCCTCCTTAGGTAAAATCGGCATGATTTTATCCCACTTCTGACACCAATTGTTACGAGCTTGAGGTTCGTTACAATAAAACCTGCCGATTGAATTACCAAAATTTACACTTTTATTACCGAACACCAATTAAACTTAAAACACTAATAATTAATCACACTGATTCACTTTATTCCGCTCCGAAGCTTCACTTGTCTCGCCAAATTCAATACTGCCCCGATCGCGGCTATCAACGGCTTTATATAGAGCTCTTCCACGAAAACATCATCCAGAATATTCTAGTAAATAAGGGGCCCCGACCAACCAGGCGCAGAAAGTTCGAGTGTGGGGGCTTCTAGAAAGCTTAGTTCTTCAATTCGATACTAGATGGCGCTGTTGGTTGAAAGATTAGTCATGACATTTTCTGGAAAGCTCTACTCGCTCTTTCAGGAGGAGCTACTGACGGACCGGCCTCCGTTACCGGCGGCTGGCCCTCCGACGTCTTCGGCGTTGCACCACCAAATCATCTCTGATCCGTCTCATGCTGGCGTTGACTGCGGGTACGGATACCCTCCGTTTCTTCCTTAGGTAAAATCGGCATGATTTTATCCCACTTCTGACACCAATTGTTACGAGCTTGAGGTTCGTTACAATAAAAACTGCCGATTGAATTACCAAAATTAATACTTTAATTCACTTACACTAATTAAAGTTAAAACACTAATAATTAATCACACTGATTCACTTTATTCCGCTCCGAAGCTTCGCTTGTCTCGCCAAATGCAATACTGCCCCGATCGCGGCTATTAACGGCTTTATATAGAGCTCTTCCACGAAAACATCATCCAGAATATTCTAGTAAATAAGGGGTCCCGACCAACCAGGCACAGAAAGTTCGAGTGTGGGGCTTCTAGAAAGCTTAGTTCTTCAATTCGATACTAGATGGCGCTGTTGGTTGAAAGAGTCATGACATTTTCTGGAAAGCTCTCCTCGCTCTGTCACCCGACACTAGATGGCACTAGTGCCAGGTACCAGCCGTCAACTTAGGAGCGCAACAGTATGCAATTTTCTGTAGACTTTATCTTTTTTTTTTTAATCAATTTATTATTTTTGTTTTTAATCAATTTGTTTGTAATCAATGTAATAGCCATATTTATTAGTGTTTATGTCCTGATTAAGTAGGTAATTAAAAGTCTCTACTTTGTAGTTATATTAAGTAGGTAATTAAAAGTCTCTACTTTGTAGTTATATAATAATGGCTTTCCACATATGTATGTTGGTGAAACTACGATAACGTTTGCATTTTTTACTTGTTCCAGCCTGGTTTTGATTGTTTTCACCAGACCTTTATAGTCTTCTGAGGTATTAAAATCGGATTCTCCGATTATCACAACACAGTAGTCGTGTTTTGTATAGTCCTTTAATTTTTTATGTATATTTTTTAAAATTATCTCTATCCCAGCATTTGTAGTAATAAAGTGACATAACTCATACTGACTTAGAACATGATTTCTGTTTACATTTTGTAGTATTTTATATCTCTTGTCACTTGTCAGTATACACAATTTGTGTTTTAATGGTTTATGTAATGATCTAATATTTTTACGTACATGATTTTTTGTGCAATTATTAATCTCTAAATCAGTTTTTGATGTTGTTTTGTCTTTCAATTGCTTTTCTAAGCTTTCGATTTTTGTGCATAGATTTTTTAATTCTTCTTGACTTAATTTCAGGTTTTGTTGTAATTTTGAGATTGTATTTTCGAAAACAAAATTCTCTCTGTTTTTTTCTTATCTGGAGTCATATTATTAACAAAACTTGAGGACAAACTCTTGCGCTGTTTTTTTACAATTTGTGGGGTTTTACATATATTTTTCATAATAAGTAGCTCCAAAACAAATTATTTTCCAAAATTGTACCGTCTAATTCTGACTTGCAAATCTTTAATTGGATTTGTAAGTCATCTATTTTCATATTTTGTTTGCTCACAATATCAAGTTTATTTACTAATTCTAAACGGTGTGATAAATCTTCTAAGGATTGGAAACTATTGTTTAATGATTCAACAGGAAATTCCATGGATAGTGGTTTTGCTAACAATTTTTCTGTAGGTAATAGTGTCTGGTCAGTTTTTGGTGAGCTGTTTGGAGATTCTGAGTCAAAAGCAATCATATCGTTACTTTCAAGTGTTTCATCAGTCCTTTTTTTACGTATTGTGATATTCATAATATCTTTTTCTAGGGATGGAGAGAGGACTGCATATTTTTTACTTTTTATGCATTTATTACATCTCCGTGATTTTTAGTCTCATTTGTACATATTCTAAAACGAGCGAAAGTTATGTTTGAACAGTCAATATGGTAGTATATATTATTACAAACTGAACAAATTGTGAACTGTCGATTTTCTATTATTGATTTACATTTGAAACAACACTTCTTTAAAGGAGTTTGTAGTTTTTGCTCCATGTTAGTATTTGTGGTTCATTAGTTTTTGACCCTGTACAGAGGCATTTTAGCAGTAAATTATGTAACTATTGATTCATGCTACATTCATCATTCCATAGAAGACGCATATTGGACAACGATTTGTTTTTCTGCTGAATGACATTACTGAGCACATTTGGTCAAATGTGTATACACAAACTTTTGTCTTATTAGAGAATTCAATCAAACGTGGTTTTTTCGTTTCTGGTTTGACTGAGGCCTCCTCATCACAAGAAGAAAGCATGTAAACCTAGCATGTAAGAAATAGCCTACCATGGTTTGCGACAATCATTTCATTACAGCCCTTCACAAGTCCACTGCTGAACATAGGCCTCCCCCAAGTAATGCCACAAAGCACGGTCCTGAGCCACCTGCATCCATCGACTTCCTGCATATCTTACCAGGTCGTCACTCCATCTAGTGGCTGGTCGCCCTACACTACGCCTACCGGTACGAGGCTGCCACTCGAGAACCTTTCTTCCCCATCGGTTATCGGTTCTTCGAGCTATATGGGCGACCCATTGCCACTTCAGCTTACTAATCCGTCGGGCTATGTCGGTCACTCTGGTTTTACTGCGGATATCCTCATTTCTTAATCTATCACGCAGAGAAATTCCGAGCGTAGCCCTCTCCATAGCTCGCTGAGCAACCTTGAGCGTCCTCATACGGCCAGCAGTGAAGGACCACGTCTCAGATCCGTAAGTCATCACTGGCAACACGCACTGGTTGTACAATCTAGTTTTTAGAGATTGAGGTATACCTGACGAGAAGATATGTCATAATTTCCCGAACGCTGCCCAGCCGAGTTGAATCCGTCGATTGACCTCTCGGTCGAAGTTGGACTTGCCTAGTCGGCCTATTTGTCCCAGGTAAACGTACTCGTCAACAACTTCGAGCATAGTGCTCCCAACAACTACCGGCATAGGTGTGACATGGACATTAAACATAATCTTTGTTTTGTCCATGTTCATCTTAAGACCTATCCGTTGGAAGGCACTATTGATGTCATTGTGCATAGTGCTTAAGTCCTCCAGTGATTCTGCCATAATGACTATATCGTCGGCAAATCGAAGGTGAGTGATGTACTCACCATTGATGTTAATACCGTATCCTTTCCAGTCCAGCAGCTTGAGAACGTCTTCCAATGCAGCGGTGAAGAGTTTCGGGGATATAACGTCACCCTGTCTTACACCTCTCTGCAGTTGGTTAGGTTTCGAGCTCTGATTCTGTACTCGGATAGCCATCGTAGCCCTACTGTACAAACACTTCAGCACTTCGATATACCGACAGTCAACTTGGCACCACTGAAGGGACTGTAGCACCGCCCAAATTTCGACGGAATCAAAGCCTTTCTCATAGTCCACATACGCTAGGCAAAGTGGCAGATTGTACTCTTCAGTCTTCTGTACAATCTGCCGCAAGGTATGTATGTGGTCTATGGTAGTGAAGCCTTTTCGGAAACCGGCTTGTTCGGGAGGCTGGAAGTCGTCGAGTCTGCGTGCGAGACGATTCGTAATGACTCTCGAAAACAGCACGTAGACGCGGCTAAGAAGGGAAATCGGTCTGGAGTTCTTCAAGAGAGCGTTGTCGCCTTTCTTAAATAACAAGACCACCGCACTTCTGCTCCACGCCTCTGGAGTAGTGCCACTATGGAGGACGGAATTGAAGAGCTTCTGAAGGACTTCAAGTACCGGTGTTCCACCCGCTTTCAGAAGCTCCGCTGTAATTCCATCCTCGCCTGGGGCACTGCCGTTTTTAAGGTGCTGGAAAGCCATTCTAATCTCGCTCAGACTGACGTCCGGGATATCATCGGAATAGTGTCGGGTAAGACTTGCTCTTGGATCGTTACTCACACTTGCGTGTGACTCCAACGATGATGTGTACAGCTGCCCATAGAACCTCTCAATCTCACTAAAAAAGCTGCCACACTCAGTCTTCAGCTTTGACAGTTGGCTCTTTCTGGCAGACGATCTCTGGTAAAGACTTTGGAGCCCTGGTTCTGCTCGATCGCTTCTTTAATACGAGCAGTATTAAAGTTGTGTAAGTCTCGCCGCATGCATTTGGAGATCTGTCTGTTCAGTTGCCTGTTTGCTGTCAAATCTGTTGACGATTGCAGCCTCATCTCCCGTCTAACAGCCATGAGATTAAGAGTGTGATCGGAGAGTTTTTGTGTTCTTCTGCGGCGGGTCTTGCAGAACTTAGCTCCGACCGCATGGACAGTTTCCACAAGCTTGTCATTCATATCGTCCACTGCATTGCAATCTTGTAGGCACTGAAAGCGATGACGTAACTCGAGCTGAAAGTTTTCGGGATTCTGGATTAGAGCACGAGGGGGACGGAGCGTTGACTTCATTAGACGAGACCTCTCCAACTTAACGTTTAGGTTCAGTGTGCCGCTAACCATTCGGTGATCGCTGCCAGTTTTCACCCTTGCGATCACTGAGACATCACTGAACAGTTGGCGTCTGGTCGTCATAATGAAGTCAATCTCATTTTTTATCGAACCGTCGGGGCTCGACCAGATCCACGTCCTGTGGGGTCGCTTCTGGAAGAAAGAGTTCATCGTAAAGAGTCCCTCTTACTCCATAAAATCGGCCAGCTGCTGGCCCCTTCGATTCCGTTGCCTTACTCCAAATTTCCCTAACTTCAGCTCACCGTTTTCTCTTGTACCTAGTTTTGCGTGGAAGTCTCCCATCAATACCGTGTGCTTTGGAATGCATGGCTTTGGAAATATCCTCATACATTTCCTCCACCTCCTCATCGGGATGTGCCGAGGTTGGTGCGTAAACCTGTATAACCTTCAGCGAATACCATTTGGTGATTCTGAGTATCAGGTACGCGACCCTCGTCGAAACACTCCCAATCTTTACAACGTTGTTGACGAGAGACTTGTGGATGATAAATCCGACACCTCCTTGGGAGAGATGATCACCCACCCGGTGATAGAACAAGTTGCCGGATTCGAGAAGCACCGTGTCCTCCCCCTCTCTTCGGACCTCGGATAATCCTATAATATTCCAGCGCAACTTTTCTATCTCTTCTTCCAGCTCCAGGATCTTCTCGTCAGTTCTCAGGGTGCGTGCGTCAATGTTGCCAGGTCGAGTCGTCGTAGGTGGCAACCGAACCTCCACCGGAGATTCTTAGCACCCCCTGCCCCGCCGTTACCATGGTCGCCACCGTAGCCAGGAATAGCGGGACCGCCGGGGACTGGGGGCCATCTATTTGTGTAATTGTTCATGGGGGGTATATTGCCATAATTGCCACGCTTGGCGAGCGGGTTGGCAACCGCAGGTTTTTTTTGTCGTACAGTTGTTGTTATCATGAAGATGCTGCTGCCCATCTTCTGCCTGTCTCTTTCTGTCGCCTCTTACTACACCCACGGGAAGATATGGGGTAGTGGATATTCTTAACCGCCACTACACGGTTTGCGACAGTACTCCTATATAAAAAACAATTGCACTAACACATTAGATATAATTTTATCTAACATATACATAGAAATAATATTATGTGACAAACCCTTAACCACGACAGATACATTTCATTCTCCTTTTGAATTTGACTTAAATGTGGCTATCCCTCCTCTCAAATGTTCTTTTATTAAGAAAAGTAAGTTTTATGCATCCGATTTTGGTAAAATAAACACATATTTATGTGAAATCGACTGGGCCACTCATTTTACACTGGTCATGTTGAAGAAGCTGTAGATTTCTTTTACAAACAACTTAATTATTGCATAGATAAATATGTATCAAGTGTAATATTATCTCTACCTCACAGCACGAAAAGGCCCCTGTGGTATAACAAAACATGATTACATATCTTAAAAGAAAAAGCTAAAGCTCACAGAAATTGGAAAAAGTTTCATAACAGCGGATTACAACATGTTTTCTTTATTACGTAAGAGTGCATCAGTTTATAACAAACAGTGTTCTTATAATTATTTAGACGCACACTGCCAACTGAATAACCCTAAATGTTTCTGGTCTTCTATCAAATCAAAACATGGTAAGACTTATTCTTATCCAAATAAAATCTCGTATAATAATTAATACAACGTATAGCGAAGACCCTGCAATTGTAGAAGCCTTCAACTCATTTTTCAAAAGTGTTTTTATCCAGCCTGCTGCTTCATAGCCTGATGTTGCATTATCTATACCTTCTAGTAGCAACGACCGACATTTTCATTACTTTTGGGTTTCCAAGCCTAAGCCAAGTGGTTTTTAAAGCGCTACAGCAAGTAGATGTAAAAATGGGACCGGGTAGTGACAAAATCCCACCTATATTTATCTTCAAAGTTATTGTCTGAACCTCTTCACATTTTATTCAATAGATCTCTTCAGAAAGGTTATTTCCCATACATCTGGAAAAAGCTCCTATAGCACCCATATTTAAAAAAGGAACCCGTATTAAAGTTGAGAATCATAGACCTACGAGTATATCTATACTTAATATATTCGCGAAAATATTTGAAAAATTAGTACTTAATTACATTTACTCTACCATAATTCGAGGTTCACTAAAATCTCAGCATGGTTTCCTCAAAGGCAGATTAACCATTAGTAACTTAACACATTTTATCACAGAGAGTATCAATTATATGGATGGCCGGGGGCAGGTTGAAGTGATCTACACGGATTTCAAAAAAGCCTTCGACCGCGTGGAACACGTCATCATGCTTCGTAAGTTAAAAATAATTGGAATACACGGGGACCTTCTGACATGGATTGAGTCTTACCT